ACGTGAGAGTGGGCATTGCACAGGCACTTTAAGATTAGCCTTTCAAACTAGAAGCTTGGTGACTAATACTTCTACTATTGAGATGCACAGCATGAAAACAATTTGATCCCAATGCTCACAGATAATAAATTTGATTGTACATCTGTGGTTTACTGTCTGATTTATACCAGATATTGACCAATAAAAATTAGGTACTGTAAAATGCTTAATTTTCGCTTGAAATTTATTTTTGCTATTTTCGCTGAAAGTATGATTCAGCGAAAAGAAAATTTAGTGAATATACCTTTTTTTCTATATTTTACATTCAACTCGTCAAAAATCAGTGAAAATAAATTCCATACAAAACACCCAAAAAAACTGCCAGCTAAAATAAAGTATTTCACAGTAATTAATATATGCATAATTTTCAACCATATCTGTGGTTTGCTGTCTGATTTATACCAGACATTAACCAATAAAAATAAGATACTGTAAAATATTTAATTTTCGCTTGAAATTTATTTTTGCTATTTTCGCTGAAAGTATGATTCAGTGAAAATAAAATTTAGTGAATATACCGGTACTTTTTTTTCCTATATTTTACATTCAACTCGTCAAAAATCAGTGAAAATAAATTCCATACAAAACACCCAAAATATTCCAGCTAAAATAATGTATTTCACAGTAATCAATATATGCATGGTTTTTAACATTATGCTGATCATGTATTTGGATTAAACTACTATGTACCAAATTTCAATGAAAAAAGAACTAATCAGGTCTTTAGAATTGTCCTCAGAGTAATAATACCATGAAATGAATTAATTGAGATATAGACCTAAAATTGGTTAATTATTTTACAAATTAGGTAATTAATATGCAAGGATTTTAAAATGAAACTAATCAGGGTTGTGTATTGTCCCAGAGCACCCATGTAATTATTATGCAAATTATGATATCAGTATGCTTGATTTTTCAATCAGATCTTTAGCACTTGTATATCAAGTCTCATCAGTAGTACACAGAACGCCTGCCTACCCAGAGTTCTTTGCAATTTGTACCAATGAATATGCCAAAATTCACCGCATTGTGGCACTATAATGAAATGTTCACTTCTGGGATCGAGTTTATTTATAGGTCTATATAATATATATATATACATTATTTATAGGTCTACATCATATAAACATGTCTATTTTGTGTTTTCAACATTTTTTACCCAAACGTTTTAGCCAGTGTTATTAAGTATTGTGGACTGGGTTGAAAAATTGTATTTTTGGCGGTTTTTGGTCTACTACTGCTTCACTTTTTTTTTCAATACGGCGGAAGCGACTTCTTTAGCTCAGCAACATGGCTTCCAAAAAAAGTATGTTTAGAAATTCATTTTATTTTTATGTTTTACACAAAAAAACATTTTTTTCAAGAATAACAGGTACTATCCTTGGATTTTAGTGCCTTTTCTCGTTGTTTGTGAAAATGAAAAACGTATTTCTTAGGACATTTCAAGAACTTTGCAACGATAGGTCAGACGAGTACTAGTCTATTGAGTTTCTACATGAAGAAAAGTAGTATTCGTCGACTCTGAAGGAATATTGTTCATGATTTTCAAACCTTATAATGCCATTGAGTTCTATATGTATAGTATTTACTGAGTATTCCACTAGTGAACTATTGTATTATTACTATAAACACATTACAAATTGCTTGATATATAGGCCTGTTGGTGGTACACTGTGATAACAAGTACTAGGTATAATGTCCTGTCTGGGATTTCGTAGCTCTTTTCTGTCAACTTATTTCCACCTTTTTAAATTTTATTTGTACGTCTTTTCTTATTGTTTTGTGTTGTTCAAAGAATTTACTACATGTAGTGTAATGTAGTGTAGGCACGACTGCCTGTGGCTTTCTTGGAAAATGCTGACCTTCGTGGCTGATTAAGTCTGAAAAAGAGGCATCAAAATATTTCCTTGACTGCCCTACCTCGTAACCTTTTAAAAGGCCAAGGAACTTGCATGTAACTTGTTTGACCTGGACTGGCCCTTTCTTGATAATTATATCAGTAAGTCAATTTCATTAGCCACATGCAACCTAGCCTTCATTAGCTTAAATCTGTGGAAAATCGTGGCGTTACTAAAAGCCAGGTCATTCCCATAACAAACAGATCGCTTGACCCGATAGCATAAAATCGTCTACAAACCATTTGGAGAATGCAAAGTGTTCTCACTTTTTCAAATTTGTCATTTTCGTCATCTTGTACATTGACAAAACAAAAACCAAAAATATGTGTCAAAATCTTTGAAGCAAATTGTATATAAAAAACCTTGCTTGACGATCAGGAACGTTCATAGTTCACAATACCTGTTGGTACAAAGTACAATGAATTCTGGGTAAAATATCACACCGTGTAGTATAGCCCAAAATTATTGAATTATTATGCAAATTAGTTAATTAATATGCACAATTTATTACTCAAAACTGATAAGGTCTGTGCATTGTCCTAGAGCAGCTACTTATTAAGTTTCATTGAAATTTGATCAGCGGTTCTTGAGATATCCACACATACACATGTACAGTGCACGTCTACGGGGGGGGGGGTGTAATTTACATTGTGATGACATACCATTTACAACATATTATATTACATGTGATTAAATTTTAATATAGTTGCGTTATGTTGGATTGAAATGCAACTCTATATAGTGTTGCGATTTAATTGGAATTCAATTAAATAAAAGTCCAACAAAGTAGAAATAACATCATACATCCTGTTACTCAACATAGAAATGTCTGTGAAGCTTTGGGTTAGTAATGGGGGTAGCTTCAATGCTGTAATGCACTGGTATGTATTTTGTCAGCAGCCTGAACGAAATTTGTGTCACATTCGTAGTGCCGACAGATTTCCCGTATTCCACTCACTGCTACCTTGCACTGATTTATTCCATCTTACTTGTTCCGTTGACGAAATGCATACAATTCTTTCTTCTTTTAAATGCACTTCTAACCTTTTCACCACCTTTTTATAAATAGGTTAATAGAGCAAATACAATAGCAACGTATCATTTTCATCTACAGGTATTGCACAATACTTACAACATGCTTTTAGTATTTTAGCCAGCTAGCTGTCAACTTGACAAGCAATTATATTTTAATATTTGTTTCTTTTTTTTTTTCATTTGTTCTTCAGCAATTTTGTCAAATAAGATGCCAAAAATCATCTTTTCAGGATATTTTTGACGGACACTTTTAAATTTCTAGCTGACACCCTGCTTGTAGTGACTGCTGGCTATGGAATGGATTGAATGTGTGCAACAGAGACTAAGTTATGAATATTGCTACTTGATGCCTAGTTCGCCATGCTCATGTCTTCAAAACAATGGATATTAAGAGTCATTTTACAACTGTCTGCTAATACAGTAGTTGTGTACATGCACAACTCAAATGATAGCCTGTGGTAGAAAAACGTGCACGTGCTAAGCACAGGCTTAAAAACACTAATTAAGGATCAAATCTGATCTGTTTTTAAGACCTGGTCTAGATCATTAGTAGGTTAAAGAAGTATGCATGAACAGCTTGAGTTAAAGGGGAACTAATACTATAAATAGGGGCAAGAAGGCCACCGCAATTAGTATGCTAATTCGAACCAAGCCGCTCACATCATGGCAGGAGCTCCTGGAAATGTGCCATTTACGATGTTTGAAGATCAAGCTGTGATTCCAAATACTACGGGGACATGAGTATGTACGCTAGCGATTACACCCGTCTGGTTGGGCTAATATCAGCAAAATTAATAAACCCTGATATAAAACTAAAACATATTTTCAGTACACTGGAAAAAATGTAGTACAGGGTATATGATGAAAATAGAAGGAAATATAATGGAAGAAATAAACTACTAGTAAGAACCTATCATCTTTTCAAAAAAAAACTATCAGTTTAGAAGATTATTCGACAAATTTTGAAAAATATTGAACTCCAGTAATTAATTAGTAAGTTTCGTCTAAGTAACCATTCACTGAGAATTGAAACAGGGCACCATACTCAGTTACCAGCAAATGAAAGGGTATGTCTTCTCTAACACAAATCAGATCAAAGATGAACACCATTTTGTGATGGATTGCCATGTCTATGCTCAAAACAGGAACATTCTATTTACGGAAGCAAGGAAAATATCCCCAAATAACAACGACGACAAATTCAGATTTATCTTTAGCAATAAATTCCTGTCAATTCTTTTAGGCTATTATTTGCGAATCTGTTTTGAGTCTAGAAGACCTTCACAACTCTTGGATTTTCTGCTTTTTTCATTTTCACTTTTAATTGTTTTTTACTTTGTGTATGTGTGTATTTGTCATATCACTGTTCATCTTTTGTTTTTTTTGTGTATTGTATCTATTATCATCCATTCCAATGGATATTAAGTAATCAAATAAATAAATTCATAACTATTCATTTCGGTATGCCATTTCAGCCTGAGAATGAAAATGCCATAGCCACTCGATTCTCAAAAAAGAAGAAAGGTAACACTGAAATCTACTGTAAAATACTTTATTTTCGCTTGGAATTAATTTTCACTGAAGGAATGATTCAGTGAAAATAAAATCCAGCGAATATCCATTTTTTCCTATATTTTACATACAACTTGTCAAAAATTAGTGAAAATAAATTCAATACAAAACACCCAAAATGTCTTTTCAGCGAAAATTAATTCCAGCTAAAATAAAGTATTTTATAATATTCTATTAAATTCTTGAAGGTCAAGTTGCACGCTGTAGCCTGTATATTTGAGTAAAACTAACTGTAATTTACATATCAATGACGTGGAATGAACGTTCAAATCAAAAAGCCATGACCAGACGAACATTTTTTTCTAGGTCATAATGCCACAGTGCCAACTCCCGTCACCGCGATCGACTTAAAGCAACCGTGATTTGACAGTTTTGGACAAACTTTTGATAAAGTAAACGCAATATGCCTTTCTTGTAAAAATATTGGTTAAAAACGTGAATTCGAAGTCAACTAACCTGTAGACCGGTGCCGAACTGGACGAGTGTGTCCGACGGTGACTCAAGTTATAAAACTCACACAACTTCTTCACTGTCAGTGTCCGAGCTTCGGCTTGTTCAAACTTCAACAATATCGACCTCTTGTGCCACGTACACTTGTTGTACTCCAAAGAGTACCTCAAAACACCACTCCTGTCACTGTGATCCTCGGTACAAATACACTAAAAAGCCAGACTTTTACAAATACCGGAGACGTCAATGCATGCCCATTCAAAACAAGATTGTATTGTTGAAAGTAGTGACCCGACGACCTGTAGCACGACATATCGTTTTGGGTGTAACGATGGAGCAAACATTGTTAGAGCGCCCTCAATCACAAACTACTGTAAAGGGGTAATTATTCACTGGGTTTTAATTTAGCTTATTTCGCTGACTGGAAAAATGCGCTAAATTAAAACACAGTGAATATGTAAAATTTAGCATAGAACACATTATCTAAATGACGAAACCGTGAATTTAAAACCCACTGAATATGTCTAAAATGGTAAATCAGTGAAATTTAAACCCAGTGAAAATTAGTCTGTCGGAAATAGATATGGATAGAATTATTGTTTACTATTTTTACTGATATTGTGTATCGTGTTATATTATTATACTGTTATATACATCGTTTGTACCGCCTAAAGCTTGAATGTAACAAAACGGGATACGACCTTGAACACTGTGCTATGAGCGAACATGAGAGGCAACACCACAATATTTGTATTGACCAATCACAGTATTGTAATATTTGTATCTAGTTTTCCCGCTCGAATTCAGAATCCCCACGAGGGTATTTAAGCATTCATTGTAATTGTTTCAAGGCTCTTCTATGTTATGTTCACGAATAAACAAC